CCCAAAAAAAAAAAAAAAAAAAAAAAAAAAGTTAAGGATCAAGCTAGAATAATAATGCAGTGGTATTTAAGAAGAAAGGAAACATGAAGAACTTCATAAACTGCGTAAGAGGTGATGAAATAAATGGCACCTATGAAACATATAACCATTTCCAAGTAATCTTAGAGATCAGACTTAAAGGAAAATTGCAAAGCTAAAATTAAAATGGAGTTAAGTAAAGTTTTTTTGAAAAAGAATTCCTTTCACTATCAAAAGATAAAGACTTTTTAATATGGAAGAAACAATATCATAAATATTTCCTCAGCTTAAGTAATACCTATCCTGCATGTTAGACCCCAAACCAACAAAGTGCTAAGTGCACTTGATTCCCACTAACTTCAATGGAAGTCAGGGATGCCTAGACTTGACAAAAAAGAACATACCAGTAGAACCTCAGAGTTATTAACACCTCGGGACTCGAGGTTTGTAACTCTGAGATTCCACTATAGTTATCTGCAGAAAGTTCTATGAGGCAGGATATAAAGTATTCAACACAGGGACATTTGTTGCCAATTTCCAGGATATTATTGTGACTCTTAATAATTAGTGTTTTTCTTAAAATTGTAGGTTCTGTATCAAGTAATTACATGAGAATCACAGTTTTCATTTAAAAAAAAAAGTACATTTCTAGCCCTCAAAATTGTTGAGAAAAAAAGTTTGAAACCTGGCCGAAGCACACCGTGAAAGCTCGAACAAGAAAAAGAACCCAACGTGTAGTTTCATGATTTTTAAGCCAAACATGATTTTTTTGAGGCTTGACTTATGATTTTTGAAGCCTTAGGGCTGACAAGGCTGAAACCTCATGCTTCAGGACTTAACTATTAGAGACAAGGATGAGACCTAATGTTGAGGGCAGATTATCCCACATCTGCCTACCGTGAGGTTTTTACACCTTCCTCTGAAGCACCTGGTAGAGATTCTGTCAAAGACAGGATACTGGACTAGATGAACCTCAGGTCTGAAACAATATGGCAATTCCTATGTTCCTAAATAAGCTAACTTTTTATTTCTCCCTCTACTTTCTCTCCAAATCCATCCTGTGTAGTCTCCCCCACACTTCCCGGTTTGCTGAAGATATCTCAGAATACCTTTCTGAGAGACCAGTCAGAGCGACACACATAGCAGCAACCTAGGCGCTGTCCACCAACTCTCCCACCAACATAGCTTCCACCTCTCACAGAAGTGGAGTAATTATGCTGACAGGAGAGCTCTCTACTGTCGCCATACAGCATCTTCATCAGATTGGCATCAGCAGCGCAGCTGCACCAATGTAGCGCTTCTAGTGTAGACCTGCCATAACTCAGTCAAAAATCAGTATCTAGGTCAGGGGTGGGCAAACTACGGCCCGCGAGCTGTTTTAAGCTGACCTGCGAGCCGCACCACGCGGCTCGGTCCCACTCCAGCGCTCCAGCCAGGACCCAGGACCATACCACACAGGTAAGGGAAGCTGCAGCATGGCCCCGCTCCAGCTCCTACGCGCTCCAATGGGAGCTGCAGGGGCAGTGCCTGCAGATGGGGCAGCGTTTAGAGCCACCTGGCCATACCTCCACATAGGAGCCGGAGAAGGGACATGCCACTGCTCCCGGGAGCTGCTTGAGGTAAGCACCACTCAGACCCTGCACCCCTGAGCCTCTCCCCACGCCCCAACCCCCTGCCCCAGCCCTGATCCCCCTTCCACTCTCCAAACCCCTCAATCCCAGCCTGGAGCAACCTCCTGCACCCCAAACCTCTCATCCCCAGCCCCACCCCAGAGCTTGCATCCCCTCCCGCACCCCTAGCCCAATTCTGAGAGCTCTCGGGCCAAAAAGTTTGCCCACCCCAATCTAGGTCCATGGAGATTTCAGGATGGAACTATTGTCAATCAAGATAAGCATGCCTTAAAATCAAAACTATAAAACACTGTATAGCTGATGTGCACTTTTATTACAAGCAAACCAATCCCACAAGATATTTCAGGCCAGATCTAATAAAATACTGTAAATAAAAAAAAGTCATTGAAAAGCTGTATGTTGTCGCAAGCTTGATCCAGGAATTTTGGCCAAATCCACTCTATAGATATATAAGTGTGCAATACTTCCTATGTATGTCAACAACATTCAGAGGCTTTTTTTATTTTACTTTCACTCACCTTTCTCCATCCCCTCCTCGCACCAGTAACTATCATGTTTAAGTGGCAGCAACTTGAAGTTGGGCAGAGTTAGGTTCCCAGAAATCATCACAGCATTCCACTCTGTAAAGGCCTCTGAACAAGACCTCAGCGATTGACGCAGATCATTTATACAGATCTTCTTGCAATCTCTTCCCAAAGAAACCAGTCTATTGTCAGTTTAGAACAAGAAGGTTTTTCAGGTCCTGACTCCTGAGGTTGAGTAACACAAATGCATCCACAGAATATGGTCTCAATGAGTCTATTCTCGACAGTTATTTTTCAAAGCATTATGGCGCTAGTAGAGTAGCAAATATCATGTACAAAAGATCTAAATAGAACCATAGGGATTACATTAGAAAAACCCATGTAAATGCTTACAAGAAAAGATCTGGGAAAGCGCACTTCCAAATGCTATTCTGGGAATCTCCATTCCCTGCTGCAAGGTTTCCAAGAAACTGGAGGCTACAACGTAAAGCTGAGGAAAAAGAACACATGTTAACAGGAAATTCAGAGAGATATCAAAGATTAATAAACTCTGTGCAAATATCAATACATATCTATACTATGGAAAGCCATCCATTTCAGAAAATTGACAACATTTATGTAGCTCTAAAACATATTTATAATACTATATATATTTTCCCCACATTTGCTTTTCTTATACAGTGAATTAATTTTGTACTCAAAAATTCCATAAAGCACATGATACACCCCAAAATGACAGATAAAACAAATCTTTTTTTGGGGGGGGTGGGGGGGAAGACGACACTGGCTCACAATTTTATTGAATATGAACGATAGCCACTGCAGAGGAAGGGGTTGGGAAGACTGACCAATGGAAGTACAAGGACAGTAAGTTTGCTGCAGGAAGGAGCAGCAGTTGCCACATTGCAATAGCCATTTTGTCTTTTCCATATTTGTGGTGGCTTTTTTCAGTATTTGATTACTGGGATGACAGCTCTGCTGGCTAGCAGCAGAGAAGTCCATGCACATTCCCTGAACTGGCCATGAAACTAATTCTGAAGCTGCTGGCAGCTTCAGAAATACAGTTCTTGTCCCTCTCCAAATTTCTTCAGTCATGGGAAAATACACCAGCTCATTTCACTATGTGTGGTGCCATAAACAAGAGACAGTAAATGGTGGTGGCAGTAGAGCTAATTATATTGCCTCAGATGGAATGGAGCCCTTCCTACCCTCAAATAAAATAGCAAAGCGGCCAACACCTCTGTACACCCAAGCAGATTTTGAATGGCAGGTTGCAAAGCTTTACCACCTGCCTACAAAGTTATGGACATGTGAACAAGGCTCCAAAGGGGCTGAAAGTATGTACGTCAGCCATGTACGTGACTACAGAACTAGTCTATCCGTAAGCAGTGGACAAAACTACAGGTAGCACAGAATACTGATGACCACAATAAACATACAGTAGCAAAATACCAGTATTTATTTTCAAGTTCTTTCCATCCCTTATACCAGTTACATCCCTACCCTCTCGAGAAGAGCTGGCAAAATACAGGGCATTTCCCAAAAACATTCAGGAATATGAATGGCAAGTTCAGTTCACTGTTATTCAGAAGGAAAAATTATATTTTGTTCATAGTAACTAGAAAAACTGTACTGCTGCACAGCAAATCTAAGAGTAACTACCTTTATGTTGTATCATGAAACAAGGTAACAAGATGGAGAAAATATCATTTTAGCTTATGAAAAATATATTGCAGCAGGTAGACTCTCAACAAGCAACCCCTGCAAACAATCTGATTCACTCATTACCCACTTTATTTGTAGGTAATTTGGCAACCTACTATAAGATACTCAACACCTTAAGGTTTCACTTCTGGGCTACGTCTGCACTTACAACTGTACATGGTTACCCGTGGGTTACGCCTCATTGTCCACATCTGAAGCATGTTCCTGAAGGAGTGCGCACACTTGCACACGAGGGATGTGGGTATGTGCACACCTCTGCTCCGGTATGGGTCCCAAACTGTTCTACAGTGCAACGTGGATGGGAACAAGAGGCGTGTACCAGGTCACGAGTACTAACAGTCCTCTAGAGCCACTCCCACAATGCACTGTTCCCTTTGCTGCCTGACCCTTACCCAAAAGATATAAAGGTCCCTCCCACCATTGCCAATAGCACTGAACACTTCAGATCAGTTCTCCTGTGAACTCTGTTGATCAGCAGTGTCAATCATGGAGCATATTCCAAGAGCTGCCGCCTGCTCTCCAGAGCACACCCAGGTGGTGATCAATGTGTGGGCAGAGTAAACCATTCTCCACAGCTTTGCATGGGTCGGCAGGAACATACAGCTGTATCAGGACATTTCACAGAGGCTGGAGGAGGCAGGCATTCACCAGACTCCATCCATGAGGCACCTCAGACTCTTGTAATGGATGGTAAAGGACTCCAAACAATCACTCCAGGAGGAGACCTAGCACATGCCCCTTCTACGATGAGCTGAACCGGGTGCTCTCCAGGGCTGCGAGTACAGAGCCTGAAGGGACTCATAACCCCTCCTCAACCCTGCCAGCCTCATGGCAAGGAAGCAGCAGGGGCCTAAGCCCCAGGAGACTCTGAGGAAGATAAGCATGTGATTCTGCACCTGTATCTAATGGATCCAATTGAGGAAAATCCCCAAGTAGCCTGAGGAGGACCCTAAGCTGCTGCAGGAACCGGAACCCAAGGCTGGTAAATTACAATACACCCCGTGTCCCCCTTAAAAATCACCTCTTGCTCCGGTAATGTATGCCTGAAACTCCCGCCCCAAAACAACTATTCCCTCTTCTCCACTCTATTCCAACATGATCCCCAAACAAGATACAGATGTAAATCAATGACTTCATTTAAATCCTATGAATCACTATAAAGCATTTAGCAGTCTGTTATAGTCCCAACTAATGAGCAGTCACTGTGCCCGTGTCTGTGCATTTCTCAGCCAGTACAACAACAGTCTCTGGGCTGCGCAAACCAGGGGGAAAGGGAGGGAAGAGGCAGGTTCTGAAAGGGCCCAAGTGAGGAAAGAACAATTTTCTGATACCCGTGCAAAGACCCAACACCACCTCTCTCCCTCCCCACCAGTCTCTCTCCCCATAGAATGGTAGCCATGTGGAAGGCAGACGGGTTTGCTGGGTTAATTGCCTACAGGCCTACCTAAGTCTGGGAAGGGAAAGGGAACCATTTGGGTATTATAGTGGTACATTCTGCCTGTGACCATTTCAGATATTTATTACCAATCCCAGTCTCTGGTGAGTAGCCTCTTCTCACCCCAAGCCACTCTGCTTCTCCCAATTTCTGCAGGGGTGGGTGAATCATGCACTTCAGCAGTTGCTCAAACACAGTGCCGTGCCTTTTGGCAGTGGAGAGGCAATTGGCTTGCGGTGATGATTCAAAAAATTCAGGGAGGAAAATATAGTTGAGATCTGATTCGGTTTACCTGGCCCTTTCAATGCTCTTTGCTGGACACAGGGGCCAGACTTTCTGTCAAGGCCAGGGCTCTGGAGGACTGGCTCGTTGCCATTGACAGAAGGGCTATGGCTACACTATAGAGCTTACAGCAGCACAGCTGTACCAATGCAGCTGCAGCGCTGCTAGTGCGGATGCTCTAAGCCAATGAGAGAGAGCTCTCCCATCGACTTAATTACACCAGTTGGGGAGGGTGACTTATTCACATCCCTGAGTGACGCAAGTTATAGCGCCGTAAGTTGTAATGTGGACATAGCCAAGGAGTCAGGCGCAGCTTGGGTTCCCTTCAGGCAAGGGAGGATTGTGCTCTAAGGCAGGAGCAGGCAATGATGAACTGTTTCATGGAGAGGGAGTACATCAAGAGGGAATGGGACCATGCACTAATGCAATCACTGGAACAACTGGTGGGAGAACACTTTTGGGTCCTGACCACCACTGTGGCTGCTGCTCCTCTCCAGGGACAGGCAACACCTTTTTCTCTTCCTCTTCCTCCTCCTGGGATCCAGGCTCCTGGTGAGGCACTGAATCCCCCCACTACCCTTGCTGAGGAGCAGCATCATGGACAGGCAGCACACCCTCCTCCACCGGCACCTGAAATCCCCATCATGTGGAACCCTCCATAGCATGCAGGAGGGGAATGATGAGCCCAAGTCAGTTTCTATAACCCAGCCTGTGTTTGGTCCCCAAACTCCACAAAGGCTCCATCCCAGTTTGTCTCCCCGCACAATATTATGCAGCCATTTCCCCTTGTCACAGCAATAGGGTGGTTAAGGGCAAGGGTACATCTCCACAGACAGTAATGTATCAGGGGGTAGCCATGTTAGTCTGTATCCACAAAAACGAGGAGTCCGGTGACACCTTAAAGACAGATTTATTTGGGCATAAGCTTTTGTGGTTAAAACCCACTTCTTCAGATGCATGGAGTGAAATTTACAGATACAAGCATAAATATACTGGCACACAAAGTCAAGGGAGTTAGTTACAAGTGGAGAACCAGTGTTGACAAGGCCAATTCAGTCAGGATGGATGTGGTCCACTCCCAATAGCTGATGAGGAGGTGTCTATACCAAGAGGGGGGAAAATTGCTTTTGTAGTGAGCCAGCCACTCTCAGTCCCTATTCAAGCCCAAATTAATGGTGTTAAGTTTGCACATGAATTGTAGCTCTGCAGTTTCTCTTTGAAGTCTGTTTTTTAGTTGAAGGATGGCTACTTTTAAATCTGTTATTTAAACCTTCACGTCAGCAGCACTGCTAGGGGTATCCGCATGGCCCCACAGTATGCCAACATTTTCATGGCTGACTTAGAACAACGCTTCCTCAGCTCTCATCCCCTAGCGCCCCTCCTCTACTTGTATTACATTGATGACATCTTCATCATATGGACCTACGAGAAGGAGGCCCTTGGAGAATTCCACCTGGATTTCAACAATTTCCACCCCACCATCAACCGCAGCCTGGACCAGTCCACACAAGAGATCCACTTCCTGGACACTACAATGCAAGTAAGTGATGGTCACATAAAC